TCAACTGGAGGGCTTAATCTTCATTGCATCCCCAAAAAAGCAAAAAAGCAATCAACTTTGAAAAGCTGCTCCCTCAGTACCTATCCAGAGGTGAATATGGCAGCCTCCATGTGGGGAGGCCAAGGCGTTGCCAAAGCCCTCACCCTATCCCAGAATTCAGAAGAAGCTAACTAAATCATCCTTCTGTTGGTTTAAATAAAGAGCTTTCCATTAGTTGCTTATCCAGTTTGTAAACTTTCCTGATAGGAAATTCTCTATGAAAACAGAACCAAATTGAAAGATTACAACTAAGGTCAAATGAACTGATAAGTATCCAAACAAGTAACTGAGACTCCTTTCCTAAAAAATGCACAGGTATGTTTATGACTACAAACAGGAGAAATTTAGTTTAATACCACATTTTTGGAGCAGAAGTCTTTTTCTATTCCCTGGAGCTGTCAGAATCTTCTGGTACTCCTCTTCCTGAGCATTCTCCCACAGCTCTGTCTGGAAGCCAGTGATCAGCTTTGTCCTGCTTTGTATTGGGTCCTAATGTGCTTGTGATATGGAATAGGCACTCTAAGGGACAAACTGGAAGAGTTTTCCATGCTGATTAAAGGAAACATAGGAGTTTAAAGATAAGTTATGTGTTATTATAAAGTGTGTAAGTATAAAGTACATGTTTTGTGTACTTTGTTTTAGGAATATATATACCCCTTTATCATACTCCTATTTTTTAAATTTTTTTTTAGTTGTAGATGGACACAATACCTTTATTTTATTTGTTTATTTTTATGTGGTTCCGGGGATGGAACCCAGCACCTCATGCCTTCTAGGCAAGCCCTCTACCACTGAGCCACAGCCCTGGCCCCATATGCTTCTATTTATAATTACATGTATATAAGGACTTCATTCTCTCGGGAAATGAAATTGTTTTCTTGCACTGTAACCTGTTTTACTAAAACTCATTTTTATGGTAAGTAGTATGTTAACTTAGGTAGAGTTGGAATACCACAGTTATGTCTCACTCCAAGATGAGTCACTGAAACACAGATGGAAGCCTCAGAAATTAGTGTCCTTCAGGGGCTGAAGGACGAACTGAATTATTCACTGACAGGCCTAAGGTGGTTCTACCTGCCTCCTTTGCCCTCAGCCCCCCAAACATTAACCAAATGTGTGTTAAGAGAAGAGAGAGTCAATATTTACAAATCCTCTCATGGCGGGGTATGTACTCCTATACAATGAAGACATCTAGAGACATTTAGGAACACCGGATCATCTTAACATGAAATTCCACAGGCGTTTTCTCATTATTTTTAAATAAGATTTATTTTCACCTTACTAATAGTACCAAATGTACATAGAGTTAGATTGCAGATACTGGTTACTCCATTGGGGAAATTTTTTTTTTCTATTACTCTTGGAGACTCTGGTGAATACTTTCCTGTGATAGAGATAACATAGGCATACACGTAGTTGGTTTATCTTTTGTTATGGGAAAGTGCTTTTCTACATGTGAAGAAACAAAGATGAGTTGGGAAGGGAACATTCTAGCCTTTTAAGAATATTCTTCTAAATGTAAAAATGTGTTTTCAGAATCCATGCTATACAGTTCCAGCATACAGCACTATGTTAGTTGCAGAGACTTTCAAACATTTAAAATAGAGCTCTTTGGTCAAATGATCCTACCTGGGAAGTAAACAGCATTCTCTATGCCAGGCTGTGTATTAGGCTAGGGCTGTAGCACTGAACAGCCTCTGCACTGACATTTCTTACACATGCTAATAGGGGCAACTGACAAAACAGAATGAGTACAGATTTTTAATTGCCATGAAGCACATAAGTAATTTAATGGAGAGTAACAGTCCCCCTACAATATAACTTCTGTGAAGACAGGGAGTTTATCTTGTTTATTGCTATGTAGTAGTCCCTTCGTATCCTGGTTTCAGCTTCATCTGTGGTCTGAAGATACCAAAATGGAAAATTCTAGAAGTAAACTACTCATAAGTCTCATAGTGACTTTAAGTGTTCTCACCACTCTGAGCAGTATGATGAAATCTCATGCTGTCCCACTTTGGCCAGTATGGGGTGTACCTCATCCCTTTGTTTGTCATCTCCATAGTATGTACTGCATGTCCTGTTATCACTTAGTAGCCATCTCCATTATCAAATCAAGTGTCATGGTATTGCTGTGCTTGTGTTTAACTCTTACGTTACTTAATTACAACCCCAAAGCACAATTGTAGTGATGTGTAAGAGTACTATAATAAATTACCACCTCACAGATAAGGGGGAACTACTGTATTCTCAGTGCCTCAAACATAGCAGTTATTGTTTTGAGAGAATGTTGTATGGAAAGACCATGATACTGAAAAGATGATAGATTTGAGCTGAGATCTGAAGGGTGAGAGAGAGCTAGTCCTTACAGCCTAATTCAGATTGCATGAGGTACAGAGGCTTGAAGTGCAGTAGGTTGGCTGTATTCTACAGAAAGATGTGAGGGCAGCATAGTGAGCCTGCCCAGGAGAGTGTTGTCTGAGGAAGTTGAAGAAATATTCAGGGGACAAGTCATAGAGAGCCTTAAAATCCAACTTTAACATGAAAGTTTGAATTTTGAAAATAATGGGAAATCATCAAAGTGTTTTAGGCAGAGAATGATGTCATCTGCCATAGGTTTTAAAAAAATTTTTTTGACTGCTAAACAGAGAATTCATTAAAAATGGACAAGTATAGAAGCAGGGAGAATAATCCAGTTATGGAAGTCCAGGCAAATATTGATGATGGTGATTTGGATTAAAATGTTGTATTAGAAATGGAGAGAAACAGAGAGATTAGGGATTTGTTCTGGAAATAGAACCAACCATTATTGGATCATAGATTAGATTCAGGAGGAGATGGGTGTGAGGAAAACAGAAAAATCAAAGATGGCTGGGGATGTGGCTCAGTTGTAGAAGTGCTTGCCTCGCACACGTGAGGCCCTGGGTTCAATCCCCAGAACCACATTAAAAAAAAAAGTCAAAGATGTTCCTTAGGTTTTATGTTTTAGAAGCTCAGTCTATGAAGTGTTGTTAACCAAGGTGGAGAAAACTGGAAAAGGACACAGTTGGGGTAAAATCAAGAGCTCTGATTTGGATGATTTTCTTAAAATTTTGAATTCTTGAGTTGATATCCAGTTGGGATGTTTAGTAGGCAGTTGGGTATATAAGTGGAGTAAGGGGGTAGAAATGAACTTGGGAACCATCAACATATAGATGGCATTGAAACCCATGCAACTATAAAATAATCTAACTAGATTGGAGATAAAGAAAAGGTGGAAATGAAATTGGCAATGAAGTAGGAGGAGAACAGGGAGTGGTATCCTTGGAGAGGGAGTAGCTCAAGGGGGATGTTTCAGGCGTTTCACAACCACCACTAGTGATTTGCTGGAAGGACAACTCAACATAAAGTTATACGCAAGACTGAGCACAGCAAAGGATACAGTGCAAGAACAAGAGGCTAAAGATGTTTTGAGAGAATGCACAATGTCAGAAACTAGAGGGGGCAGTGTAGGCTTCTTGTTCTCCCTCTGTAAGGATCTGTCCCACATTTTTCTTGGGGATACATATTTCTATAAACTGCAGAGACACATGCAAAATGCCTCACCTAGGGAAGCCCACTTGAGTCTTGGGAGTTGACCAGCCAGAGTGCAGACTCCTAACTGGATACCAGGTGCACATGAAATGATGCATCATGCTTACTTTGAACAGATTTTTTGGCTTGGTACATCCTGACCCACTGTCTTGAGGTACAAAAAAAAAAAAAATACTAATTAGTATACATTTCATGAGTTTAGTGCTCAGAATTTTGTTCAGGGTCATTGCCACGACTGTAGATGTCCCTAGAGATAAGCAAGGGCTGAGGAAAGTAGATTGGCTATGGTAATTCTTTCCTCCCAAGATCATGGTTAATGTTGCGTGTTGGCTGAAAGTCGAAACTGAGAGCCACAAAGTTAAGTGGTATATCCCAAAGAATAATTTATGAAATTCTTGTTTCTCTGTAGATTCATTTCTTTCTTTTCTTTTCTTTTTAACATTTATTTGAATGCCTAACATAGTCTTTGGCATGTGCTAGCACAGGAATATGAAGGTAAAGAAATTAGGCATAGCCCCTGCCCCAGCGGAATTGAGGCAAACAGATCTGGGTTAATGAACCAGATTTATCAGATAAATACAGATGCAGTTAGCACCGTGGGGGTGAATGGCAGAGAACTAAAAACATGGAAGACCTGAAGAGAAAAGAGAAGTCAGCCGTGTGAAGAAGAGGAGGCAAGGCAATAAATATCATCTTCAAAGGCCTGAAGGTGAGGGAACACTATGAACTTGAGGAACAAGGGGGAAAGGAGAATGAGACAGGGAGGGGAAACTGAGGAGGTAAGGGGGACGTGAAGGACTTGTCCACTTCACCTCGTTTTTTTTCTTCGCCCTAGAGGAGGCACAAACATCCTAGGGGATACATGCCTGATAGAAAAATGACAGGCTTATTTTCTTGATTGGGAATTTTCTGGTAGTTTTACAATTTACTTTATATTACAGTAGAGGTTCCTTTTAAGAAAGGTGGCCAAGGCATGCCTGTAATCTCAGCAACCCAAGAGGCTGAGACAGGAGGATCACCAGTTCAAGACCAGCCTGGGACACTTAGCAAGACCCTGTCTCAAAATAAAAAATCAAAAGGGCTGGGAAGGTAGCTCAATAGTAGAGCACTCCTGGATTCAATCCCCAGTACCACCAAAAAAAAAAAAAAAAAAAGACAACCCTCTATGATTAAGTTATTTACATTCCCATTTGACAGGTGAGAGCAAACAGATTTTATTTTTCCCCTGCCCATCCTCCCACCTTTCAGATTTTACCAATGAAGAAACTGATGACCCCAAATTATATCTTTTTTTTTTTTTAAAGGATTGAACTCAGGAGCATTCGGCCACTGAGCCACATCCCCAGCCCTATTTTGGTTTTTGTTTTTGTTTTTGTTTTATTTAGAGACAGGGTCTCACTGAGTTGCTTAGTGCCTTGCTGTTGCTGAGGCTGGCTTTGAACTCCCAATCCTCCTGTCTCAGCCTCCCAAGCCTCTGAGATTACAGGCATGTGCCACCACACCCAACCCAAAATTATATCTTAGGAACCAATAGATTTGGTTCATTAACCTAGATCTTTTAGAAATTTATTTATGTATTCATTCAACAAATATTTGTTTATTGAGCTCCTCCTGCCTACCAGAACTTTTGTGGGGGTATACAAGGAACAGGACATGGATCTTTCCCTTGAGAAATTAGATCATGTGCCCTTAATACACAGTCCCCATAATGGGAGAGACATTGCAATAGGGCTGTGCTCCCCCATCTGGCCTCCAGAGTGCTTGGTAAAGTTGGCAAAGGCTCATCAGGGAAGTTGGTGCTTGAACAGTTTCAGCATTTTACCAGACACGCAGGTGAGAGGGGCAGAATTCCAGGTAAAGTGAGTGGGAAAACACTTCCCTTGCTTGTCTACCTGGGGCCATCCACAGAGACTAGAGTGGGATGGGTCTGCCCTGGCAGAGGCAGCAGAACCTCATAATATACATTCATAATATATGTGAATATATGATCCAGGATAAAAATTTGGTGGCAATTTATTCTAATGCATTTTTTAGCATTAGAATAGTTTTAGAAGGCCCCTGTCATTGCGGGTTTTTGTTTTTGAAAACGAACTATTCACAGAACAGTGATAAACAAACTATTCAAAGAACAGTGATAAGTAAGGAAAATATTTTGACTCACGTAATTTCTCACTGAAATTGGCAATTTTTGTAGTCCCAGGGGAACTATCTTTCCATAGGACATTCTGTTCTCTGTCTTTGGGAAACTGTCCTTTAAAAAAAAAAAAAAACAAGTAATAAAGGGAGGTATTTGAGGATTAGTAATAAAAGTTATATGCTTCATTGAATGCTTTTGCTTTCTGTGAACTGGTCCTTTTCTATATTATTTTAAATTCTGACACCAGCAAGGTGTCAAGTCATGTTCTGCCCGTTTTACAGATGGGGAAACCAAGACCAGGAGAAATGACTTGCTTGAGACAACTTGGCTAGTAAGGAGCAGAGCTGGCAGTTCAGACCCACTTCTGAAAGGATTCAAAGCCCCCGTTCCAGTTTCTAAAAGGGTATTTAGGGCTCTGAGGCTTCTGTGGAGGTGGCCTTGGGTCCTTCCCAGGTGAGGAGAGAGTTGACTCTTGAGGTTCCCTTTCTTAACCTAGAGTAGCTCAGCTTCAACTGTTTTCCTTGGGTTTCCACATAAGATCATATTGGAATAAATTTCCATTCCCGGGTTGAGTAATATGAAATACCTGGTTGACCCTGGTACCTTTGCAAGAGTAAACTGAGGATGTGCCATGAGCCAGCTAAAGGGCTAGACTCTGCAGGGTGTCAAGGAGGATTCGTCCCTTCTTTTGGAATGTAGCATTCTAGTTGAGTCCTTCACGTAGGTGATACTTCACAAAGGTTCAGAGCCCTCTGAAACAGATCAAAATGTCATTAGAGAATATTAAACGTATTCTGTTTATCAAGCCAAATGCTATGAGCTTGTGTATATAACATGGTGTCTTGGCTGATGACCTGCACATTGGGTTAGGCAAAAGATCTCGCTCCTGACCTCCTCTACTCCCATTGTGACTATGTCCTGGCAGACAGCCTCTGAATGCTCAGGAACATTAACCACCTGTCCTGATTTATGCAGACTCAGAAGCCACCTCACAGTCATTTATGATTCAGATTTATGCAGATTCCTTGGAGAGACAAGGTGGACTGAGAGGGTAGGGGTAGGAGAGAAGGAACAGAATCTGGCTTTCAGGAGCTCTGGATTTTCCACTGAGCACTGCCAAGATCCCTTGTCCGCTACAGTCCTCTGGGGGAAGACTGCATAGACCAAGGAGGAGTCTAATGGATAGGAAAGAGCCCACTCAGCATCCCTCCCTTCTGGGAGGAAGAGATGGCAGAGCAACATAGGACACTTGGGCCTGCCCTGAGCAGCCTCAACTCCTATGCGTTTTGCAAAGAAGGTGTTAGGATCACCAAGTAGCTATGTCATTATTTACCACAGGGGTCCCATTTACTAGAGAAGAAGGCTTTTCCCATTTGCTAGATGAAGACAGGAAGGAAGGAAAACAAAATAACCTTCTGTTGGGTAGATTAACAGAATCCCAGGCGGCTGTAACACTGAGGCTTGTGCAGTCAGCAGCCCAAACTCTATTTCCTCTAAGGGACATGTTATGAGCTGGCGAATGGGTACATGCAATCTAGTGAGAAACCATTTGATTTTGAGATAGAAACTTGAGGGAAATAGAGTGAGCTAACGGAGTGGAGCATTGCCCTGTATGAAAACCAAGTATTTGGGTTCTAAAACCCATTAGGCTCAGAGGGCACAGTATGATCCTAGAGGTTGTAAGTGACCCATGAGAACTTTAATAATGGCTTTTCTTATGCTCTCTGTTTTTTGAATATCCTTTATAACATCTTATCAATTGGTCATTTTAAAAACAGGCTAGGGATATAGCTCAGTGGGTAGAGTGCTTGTCTCGCATGCACAAGGCCCTGGGTTTAATCCCCAGCACCACACACACACACACACACACACACACACACACAAAGATTTCCAGGTGCTGAGTGTGGTGGTACATGCCTGCTGGCCCACCTACTTGAGAGGCTGAGGCAGGAGGCTCGCTTGAACCCAGGAATTTGAGTCCAGCCTGAGTAACATAGATGCTGTCTCCTAAAATAAGAAATAAATAAATAATTTTTTAAAAGATTTCTATGTTCAGTGGTATGGTTAAAATGAAGTGTTTGGCAAAATCATCTCAATTTTTAAAAACAGTAAAAAAGAGATCTTAGTATCAGATACTGGAATCAAGGAGCTATCAGAATAGGGAAAATATCATATTTATACCCTTACCCACAAATACACAGATATTTATAAGCAATAATAGGCAGTTTAATAGTGGTTAACAACACAGACCCTGGAAAGCATAAAGTGCCTGAGTTAGAATCCTGGCTTTGCTATTGAGTAGCCATGATCTTAAACCAGTGTCTTACTTTCTCTGTGCCCACTGCCTCTTTTGTAAAATGGAAATGATGGTATCCTCCTCCTGGATTGTTGAGAAGCCTACATAGGTTAATAAATGTAAAGTGCTCAGAATGTAATGGGCACATAACAAATGCTAGAGAAGAATATGCTACTACTATTACTGCTACATAGAGGGTGATATTCGACAACTTGAACGTGGCACTGACGTAAGTTTTAGGTGCATGACACCCTTCAGCCTTGAGTTTGCTGAACAGCTGCCTAGCATTCCTACTTTCTGTCACTGAGTCTGCACAGCCCGTCTGAGGCAGGCAGCCATTTGCAGCTTTAGAGATCCACTTGCCAGTGGTTAAGTAATTTGCCCTGGGCCAAGGCAAGTACCCAGCCCATTCAGGAGCTCCCAGCCTTCACAGCTTGGCTCCTGCCACAGTTGCAGGTGGAGCTGACCTTGTTCCTGCCCCAGAGGGCAGCACACTAGTTACAGCACCCTTGCCAGACCCCATGGTATAGAGAGGAACCTGAGGGCACAGGATTAATTGAATTGCCAGAGGTCGGTCTCCAATCAGACTGTGACATCCAGATAGGAAACCAGATCTAATACTAGGAACCGTCTCTCTCTGTAGGGTCTAAATGTCTGTGGTATGTTTGACAAAAAGGACTCAGGATAAGTTGTCAGATACTGGATGACACATTCTATTTGCATCTAGCCTGTGTATATTCAGATACCCGGTAACAAAGCTTCCTTTGCTTTAATTAGCTTGTACTTAGATATTTGGCAGTGTGAATGAACATTAAAAAAAAAGTTATGTGGGGTGTTTCCCCACAACTTTTGCATTTGCTTTGGGAAATCTCCTCTTCTAAGGGTTTAAAATTATGTTTAACAATAATGTGGTAATTTTAGGTTAAGACCAGCCCATTTTTCTCTTATCACCCTTTATATTTGTCACTATCTCTCTAAAAGGAGCTCTCTATCCTATGATAACATTTGCATCAAGTATATATGATTTGCAGCATTATTTCTAATAAAATGAAAAATGATGCAGCCATCTAATTAATGCCTGATTTGTGTACTTACAATGGCTAAAATAACAAATTTAGTAGTATGGTTTAACATAGTGTTTAAAAGTAGTAATGTCTACTGCCATGTTGGGGGAGTGCTTGCCTACCATAAATTGCCTACCATGTGTAAGGCCCTGGGTTTGAAATAAAAAAAAAATAGTAATGTAGTGTACCAAAAACCAGTGAACTGGGAATTGTATTAAACAAGTGAATTGAATGGCATATGAATTATATCTCAAAGATTAAAAAAAAAACACATACATTCATCAATAGGGAATTGGTTAGATTATTCCAAATCTGGTCAATAGAATATTATACAACCTTTATAAAAGAATAAGGTAAATTTGTATATTTTGTCATGGGACAATGTCCAGAATCTATAGTGGATAAAATAAGTTCATAGTCAAATATTTTTCTGTTCATTTATATGTATACACAGATCTAGTTTTGAGTTTCATTCTTTTTTTTTTAATAATACCTTTATTTATTTATTTTTATGTGGTGCTGAAGATCTAACCCAGTGCCTCATGCGTACTAGGCAAGCGCTTTACCACTGAGTTACAACCCCAGCCCACAGGTTGTGTTTCATTCTCACAAGTATTTTTGTGCAACCTGCCTTTTTCACTTATGTATGTTGGAGGCCAGTAAGTGTCGAGATGCCTCTTTGTTTTAAACTACTTCATACTATTCAGTGGTATGACTGGGGGTGGGGAGTGGTACTGGAAATCAAACCCAGGGCCTTACATATGCTAGGCAAGCTCTCCTCCAATAGAGGTTTGCCCCTAGCTTTACGGTATGATTTTTTTTTAATATTTGTTTTTTAGTTTTAGGTGGATACCTTATCTTTTTTTTAAATTATTTTTATGTGGTGCTGAGGATCAAATCCAATGCCTCACACATGCTATGCAAGCACCACTTGAGCCACAACCCAAGCCCTTATGATGTGATTTTTATCATAGTTTATTTAATCATTTTTATATTGCTCAATATTTAGGTCACTTACAACTTTTAGATATTTTGAATGATAGTGCAATAGATACTGTTGAACAAGCACCTCAGCTCAACAATTTCCCAAGCTAGGGGTTGTTAAATCAAAAGGTACATGCATTTTTGTGCTTGATAGATACTGAAAAATTTCCCTTCATAATAAGGTATATTTTTTAATTCCCAGCATCACATGAGTATGTGCATTTCCTCACATTATAACCAACACTTTAAATTTTTTTCTAATCTGCATGGTAAAAAAAAATCCCCATTTTAAATTGAATTTCATGATTACAAGTGAGAATGAGTGTGTTTTCACACTTACTCAACATTAAATAAACATTGATGTTCCAGATGCAGGATCATACAACAGTGAACAAACAGGTCCCTGCCCCTGTGGACCTTGAATTCACAGTTTATTGGCAGCTTATATTTTCTTTTTTTTTTTTTTAAAGATAGAGTGAGAGAGGAGAGAGAGAGAGAGAGAGAGAGAGATTTTTAATATTTATTTTTTAGTTTTCAGCGGACACAACATCTTTGTTGGTATGTGGTGTTGAGGATCGAACCCGGGCCTCACGCATGCCAGGCGAGCGTGCTACCACTTGAGCCACATCTCCAGCCCAGCAGCTTATATTTTCTCAAGACTTTTGCCTATTTTTTTTAACTTACTCACAGACCTTCTTAGATATTTTGTTTTCTATGTGGCAAATGTTTTCACCTGTTCTGTGACTTATCTATGAAACTTTGTTTCCAATGTTCTTTTCCTACAGAAGTTTTTAATTTGCATGAGGTCACGTCCATGAGACTTTTCCTTAAAAGCTTTTATGTTTTACGTCTCATTTTAAAAAGCCACCTTTACCCCCAAGGTCATAAATATATTCCATACATTTTCAGTATTTTTATCGTTTTAGTTTTTAGCACCTAAATTCATCTGGAATCTATTTTTGAAAGTGGGGTGTGAGTGGATAGATTTCACATTCTATAGCGTGTATTTTTGAACATTCAAATTTTGAAGTGTGGATGACTTTTGTAAGCAGAAAGAGCCATGAAGAATCTGAAAAGACACTCAGGACGTGATGTCCAGAGGAGAAAAGGGAATGTGATGAGCAGAGCAGGCCGTGGAGTAAACTCGGGTCATAATGGGTCGAGGCAGGGACAGAGGCAGGAAACATGAATCAATGCCTGATTCATGTTTGCTGTGATCTGCCTCATAAGAGCCAGATCACAGCAAATGTGAATCAGATATTGGATTCTTTGACATTTCTACTTATAACAGAATTTTTATTCCATAATTTGGGACAAAATAAGTTTGAGATAATGCCCTAAAAAAATAATAACTCATCCCTGGATTAATGATTGACTTTTTCCATTCATTCTAATAGCAAAGGTAGTGGACTATTAAATTGCATAGGCATGTTAATTAACATATTTTTAGTTTCAAGAGATAATATCTTGTGACTGAAGTATGGTTAACAAATGAGCATGCTTTGGTGGGTAATTCTTTGGAAGGGGGGGGGTGGGTAGGAACTACTCTAAGCTAATCAACCCAAATTGCCACTATATCTTCCTTCCTTTGACATTGGACTTATATAATCCCTTAGTGTCTGTGACACTGATGAGTTTAGATATATGTTCACCTCACAAGCATGTTTTCTTTTTCTTTTTAATACTTTTTAGTTGGAGATGGACATAATACCTTTATTTTATTTATTTTTATGTGGTGCTGAGGATCAAACCCAGTGCCTCACATGTGCTAGGCAAGGGATTTACCAGTGAGCCACAACCTCAGCCCCAAGCATGTTTTCTTACTGAGTATGTGTAAGCTCTGCACTAAGTGCTTTCTATATTTTAGCTCCTCTGCTCTTTACAGCAACCCATGTGCTACTATGATGAGCCTTATTTTACACATAAGGAAACTGATGTGTTAAAGTCAGCAAGTTAAAGTCACACAAAATGTAGAAAAGTTTCCATTTAGACCCAAATCTCTGGTTCCAGATGATCACAAGAGGCTACTTCAGTAAATGCAGTAGTCAGGGAAGAATTAAACTCTGATGAGCCTTCATGAAGCAGAACTGAAAAACCTGTGACAGGAAAATATATTTATAATGCCTCCCTGGTTAATCAGACCACCCTGGAAGTCGAAAAGCAGAATGCTGCTTGGACCACCTGCACTTTCTTCCAGTCCTGTCTCCAGTTACAGTGAGTACTGCAGCTCTGGGTCAAGGTCAGCTTTGGGGTAAAAGCTGAGAAAAATGCCTTCAGGTATGAGACATCTTTTCATGTAGGGACATGCTTGGTTTGTGCTTCATTTGGGAGGATAGTGTGTTTCTGTTTGGTTTGCACTTTATGACAGAATACTATGCAGGCCTGAGAACAAGAGGTTTACATTCACACTTACTACTGGTAGGAGTGACTCCACAATCCAGGACAGTGCCTACAAGAGGCATAAGGGTGCCTCAAGGTACTGACAAGTGTATAGTTTATAAAAATTCACAGTGAGCTGCACAGTGTACAGTTTGCTATATATCTTAGAGTCTGTGTATTCGTTGTATTGCAGCCAGTATACAGTGTTCTATGTATATTTTATTTCACTGAAGAGTTTTTAGTTTTTTTGTGTGTGTATGGTGCTAGGATAAAACCTAGGGCCT